CCCGTCCCCCCGCGCTCGGCCGTCTCCCCAGCACTCAGCCCTGGCCCCCTTCTCGCCCTGGCCCCCTTCCAGGCAGAGGGGCCACGCAGGGGACAGCGGGGACGAGCCCAGCTCCACTTGCTGTCTCATTTATCCTCTTCTGGAGCAGTTTGTAGCGGAGACCCGTGCCCACCCCTTACAGAGCCAGTGCTGGAAGATGTCCCCTGCCTCCTCCATCCCACCCTGCCACGGGACTGTCCCACCGTGGGGTCCTCTTTGCTGCTGCGGTCCAAGGTCAGCTCCATCCTCGTGCCGTGCAAGAACATCCCCACTGTCTTTCTCGAGCTCGGAGGGGGGACACCACCGGTGGTTCTGGGCTCGTGGCTGCCACAAAGCCCCACCACCTCGCACGAGCAGCACCGTTCCCACCAGGGACAGCAAAACCTCACTTTTGTTTGTGGGTTGGAGCCACCCAGAGTGCTTCTTGCAAGCACCGGTGTGCCCTGGCCACCTTCCAGGAGCACCACGATCATCAACGTGCCAGTCAACATCCCCCCCCTCCAAATTCCTCCTGCTGTCTCAGCTGGGGGACAACTCCTCCACCTCCCAGCCCCAACCCTCTTAAGCAACCCCAGGCTGGTGGCACGCTCTGTTCTGCAACCACCTTCCCCAGCAGGACGGAGGCGTGGGACAGGAACCAGGTCACAGCGGCAGTGACCTACTGCCCTCTCCCCTGGGGGCAGAGGCGGCAGGACGGCCCCTGCAGCGTGGCCCAGCCGGTTTCCCCTGGGATCTGTCTCATGGCCAAGAGGGAGCCACATTTCCTCTGTCCCCACTACCCTAATAGCGAGGCAGATGCTCTGTGCTGAGCATGGGAGAGATGGGAGGGTGATGGTGGGCTGGCAAACCAAGCCCAGCACAGGTATCACGCATGCCCGAGGAGATGGGCATGCAGAGTCCAGGAACCCCTGCCCTCAGTAGTGGAGCTGGGAGCACCTTGGAGTGTTACCAACACTTCCCAGCCACGCCAGAGGAGCAAGGTCCCTGCAGCCGAAAAGCAGCTCTTGCTTGGAGAACTGTGGTGCCAAGAGCCCGGCTGGCAAAGAGGCTGCCAAGGCTGTGTGGGCAAGTGGGCACGGGGTCTACACCGGGGCGGAAAAGCCCGAGGTCAGGCTGGGGAGTGGCTTCCCAGAAGGTGAAACCATTCCCAAAGCCATGAATGCGGCTGGAAGCGGAGCTGCGTTTTGTAAATACCTGGGGATCCTGCGCAACCTGAAAAAAAACCAAGTCAGAGGCAGGAATTTTCTGCAGACGAGGGGATTTGCGAAGAGCCAGATCCGGGGTCAGCGCTCGGCTGGATGCTCCATGCTACCAGCAACACTGTCCTGGGGAGCAGCCCTGGGACTCCCTGAAGGAGCTGCTCCAGCCACGGCACCCCAGGAGCAGAGAGGTCCTGCCAGGAGCCGGGGAGAGGTTTGGGCTGCGCCCACCACCCAGACGAGGTGTGTGGAAATCCCCCGCAGATGGAGGATCAAAGCCTGGTACTCAGGCTGATCCCACCAACGTGGCAGCAGATGCACGGGTTGATGGGCGCGAAGGTTGCCTGTGTTTCACAGCAGCAAAACATAAGGAAAGCCCCCAAAAAAGTCCTCAGTCATGGTCTGAAGTAAGTTGGAAACATGGGATGGGAAGTCCTGGGAGGAGAAGGGAGAGAAGGTCTCAGCACAAGGAGCTGAGGCAGCTGCTTGGGCGGCTGTGGCTCAGGTTGGCCGTGCTGTGGGAAGTGCCTGGGCTGGGCTTTGGTAGACCCAGTTTCCATGCCCTGGCCTTGGGGAAGGATCGTGGTGACATTAAAGTGTTGGGTGCAGGAAAGGCTTCCTGGAGCTGAGCCTGGCTTAGCTCAATCACAGCCACCCGAGGACCTGCCCTCTCTGGAGAAGAAAGCCACAATAACAGAGAGCTCCTGCTCTGGCAGCAAAGTCCAGCCAGAACCAGTGGAACAGCGCAAGTTCAGTGGTAGAACACAAATATTTGACGCCGGGAGTAATTAATCACTGTCCTCCGCAAGATGCTCTGGGTCAAAATGAGAGTTAATTCCAGGCAGTGCAATGGCCTTTGTCACCCCTGAACTGTCTCCAGCCCCAGATGCCAACGGGCTCCAGCGTCCCACACCTTCACCATGAAGAAGGATGGACCCACATCCATTCCAGGGTCTCTTTGAGAACATGGTGTGGGAGAGGAGCCCCATCTGCTTTAGCTAGTGAGGGACACGTCCAGCATCACCTCTCCTGTGGCCTTGACGGTCCACGGTAGGTACCCAGCCCGCAAGTGACATCCAAGGGGGTCCCAGCCCCATGGTCCCCTCTCCTGAGACAACTGCTCCCAGGAAGGACTATACCCCACGGCCTGTGCAAGGAAGCAAGCGCTGGCACAAGTCTCCATCAGCTCTTTTCAGTGGTCCCCAGTGACAGGACAAGGGGCAATGGGCACAAACTGAGGCACAGGAAGTTCCGTCTGAACACGAGGAAGAACTTCTTCCCTCTGAGGGTGATGGAGCACTGGAACAGGCTGCCCAGGGAGGTTGTGGAGTCTCCTTCTCTGGAGATGTTCAAGACCCGCCTGGACAAGGTCCTGTGCAGCCTGCTGTAGGTGACCCTGCTTCGTCAGGAGGGGTGGACTAGATGACCCACAGAGGTCCCTTCCAACCCCTACTATTCTGTGATTCTGTGACAAAAGTGCCCTGTTAGGTGCTCGCCTGCGTGGCGTTTCCTAAGGAGATCATAGCCCTGGAAGCAGGACCTGCTGTTTTGGAGCAGATTAAGTACCTGTGGGATCAGTGTGGATGAATCACGTCCCTCAAGTGGCTTAGAGCCCCTGGAAATGGCTCGTGGCACTTCGAAAACAATGTCATGAATCTTCGGCAGATGAGATTAGGGAGTGGAACAATTACCTCAAAACCTGTTAGTCATGGGAGGCTCCAGGGAGCTGGAGGAACAGCCTAGGGCAAGCAGAGCCCTAGGAAGAGGTGGTGTGTGTCCCCCTCGCTGGGAACCTGCGTGAGCAGCCCCAGGAAGGGTGTGGGAGGTGGCTGCGGTCAAACCAGCCCCGCTTCCCCTGAAAAAGGTGAGCTGTAATTAACAGAACGGGTACAGAAGAGCTCAAGTAGGTCAAAAGGTAATGGGGCTATCACCAGCATTTCCTAACAGCGCAGCGTGGCTGGGAGGCACCCTCCTGTGTTGAGCAATGGGAAGATGGATGAGGCCAGGCCCTGTCTTCAAGGGAATAGCCACCAAGGTCACCCCAACCGCACAACGGCCTTTTCGGAGCGAGCTGGGGAACGGCCAAGGCTGGAAAAGGGTGCTGGTGGTCCAGCCCCACCCCACCAGACCTCTTGGTGACAACATCCATGGAAAGTCCTGACTGTGGCCAACAGAGCACACCATGGCTATCTAGAACCCATCTTGAGGTGTCCCCCAAGAAGGGCATCCCAAGACCACACACAAGGAACTCTTGAAGGGATGGATGAGCGGACACCCAACCCAGCTCTGAAGGAGACGCGTGAGTTCACACTGCAATTTGGGAAGGGCCGCTTCGTGGTCTGGGGAAGGCCACATCTGCCCTTGCTGAAGCACTGTCATCGGCACAGACTCGACGTTCTGGCTGCCCCCGTAAAACGCCGTGTCCCCGACCCCGCTCCCTCGCATGCCCCGGCAGCTCTGGCTGGGATGCTCTCTCCGGTGACCACATCTTTGTAAAATGACCTTTCTCCAGCAGGATTTTGCAAGCCCTGGGGTGGCGATGGGTGGGGACGTTTAACAGGGTCCTCTTCAGAGCCCAGGTTCCCCGAGGCTCTGCCTGGTGGCCACCTCCATTGTCTTCCCGGAGTTCAGTTCCACAAGCAAGTGGATTCCTGCGGGAGAGCCCATGGGCATGCTGTTGGGAACATGCCTTCTCCTCCTCTACCTCGCCGGCATTCCCGGCATTCCCTTGCCTGGAAAAGCAGCGCTGCTAACCCAGCCGGGTCCCACCACCACACCCCGGCAAAACCACCCCAGCCTGTTTGACGCCACGCCGCCGCCGTCGCTGACGAAATGGGTTTTTCCGCCCACGGGCACCCGCTGCCATTGCCACCCCCGCGCCGGGGCTTGCAGGGTCTGGCACAGCCCGGCTCCTCCAGGATCAGAGGCCGGCGTCGATGCCGGCACGCGAAAGCCTCTCGCCCTCGGCGTGGAGGGCACCGGGGGTCAGGCCCACGGCAGGGACGCACGAAGGATCACCGAGTACGGAGACTCGGTGAAATATTAAAGCAGGCACTTAATAAAGCGCGCCCGGTGGCAGCAATTACCCTGTGTAATAAACCTGGAAAGGAGAGGACTTTGCCCCCCCTGGCTGGGGCGGTGCAGGGAGCGCTTGACGGAGGTGGCACAGACCTGGTGCCTGGCGCCGTGCGGCAAAGCTTCCCCCGAGCTGTGCGGCACCGGCTTGCCGTGCCGCAGCCTGGGAATAACGCTGGGTAGCCGGGCAGCGGGATGCTGCCCGCTCCGGGTGGTGAACGAAGAGCGGGGTGCTGAGGAAGGGGTTGGGATCACCCGGGGGTTGTTAGCCCCACTTCGCGGGGTTCCCAGAGAGGAGCTGGAGATTCATTCGCACCTTACCTGCCCAGTCCAGGTGCTGGGGGAAGCCCGAGGGCAGCTGGCCCCGGTGCCGGGACCCCGGTGGCACACGGTGCAGGTCCCAGGAGCAGCACCCTGCTGCCCTGGGGGAGGCCGTGCCCTGGGCCCCCCGGTCCCAGCAGGACGTGGATGCTGGGGGCACTGGTTCTGGGCTGAGCAGGGCTGCTGCTGCCTGCTGGGAAGCTCTGCCCAGCACCGAGCCAAGCCACGCCGCACTGAACCAAGCCGAGCTGAGCCATGCTGCATCAACCCGTGGCTGAACTGAGCCGACCTGAGTTGAACCGACCCGAGCTGAGCCGTGCCTACCTAGGTGGCACGATGTCCCGAGCCGTGCTGAGCCAAGCTGAGCTGAGCCAAGCCATGCAGAACCGAGCTGAGCCGAGCTGAACCAAGCAGAGCTGAGCCGAGCCATGCCTACCTAAGTGGCATGAGGTCCCCAGCCATGCTGAGCTGAGCTGTGCCTGCCTGG